TGAGAGTCTTCTGGATATGGATCTATTTGTAGATTCACTTCTTTGGGAGGATAGAACGCCGCCAGAGAAATAATCCTTTGAAAATGCAGGACACCACTTTTCTTTATGACTATAGAGCCTTTTTAACCATTTATTCTCACTGCATTCATACACTTTGTTCAGCCTGAAACCAAGTAAAAACTAACACAAAGTTACATACTAAAGCAACACGGGTTACACAAACGCAATGAACAAGTTACACGGAATAAGTAAGAGGTTACATCAAAATACAAATAACTTATTCAGACCAGTAGAAATCAAACTCTGCAACTGTGTCACATCGTTTGACAACATAATCAAATACAGGAACAAAATTTATCTTCTTCCGTAGAAACATGATGTGTTTTTTCGAATTCTCATCTATATGCCAAGTGCATAGTCGGTGTCTTGACTTAGGGAAAACTGATTTTATAGCTGCTGTCATTGAAAATGATTGGTCTGTCACAAACGTGATAGGGTTTTTACTGTCCATAGATTTCAAAAAAATCTAGAATAATCAAACAAAGGACTCCACCTTTTCATTCAACATAAAGCCACAACCAAACATAATATTCTTACAGTGATGATTCATACCAACAAACGGACCACAAATCATGTCATATTTGTTAGTCCTGTAAGTTGTATCATGCACGACTAAATCACCAAACCTCTCATAATCTGATCTCATTTGGTCATCTCTCCAGAAAAAACAACTTAGTACACCTTCATTTACTTCAAAATCAAAGTAAAAATCAGATTCCACTTCAGCCCTTTTCTTCAATATAGAAATCAAAGTGTTAGAATCACTACCATCAAACGTTTTACTCTTTTCAGATTCTAGAACGTTATAAGCATCACGTTTGGTGAATCCAAGAGCACTAACCCCACCTGCCTGTTTTTGAAGCATACGGTGAATATCAGAAACCTTTGTCCCGCTCTCCTTCATCAACATAATAAATTCAAGATACTCATGATCAACACCTCGATGTGATTTCAGAAGGTGTCTTTGACCAATTGGACAAAAAGAATGGTTGTGATGAGTAATATGCTTTCAAACAGTCCATTCACCATCAACACTAATAGAAAATTGCAGTTTTGCTTTACAACCTGAACGATAATCTAATTTCGTATACATTTTGTTTTCAGTGCCCTTTTGTAGTTTCTTCCCTTCTTTCCAACAACAGTAAGACTTCATAATCAAACTTACATTGTCACTCCTAAACCTCTGTTTGCATCTTCGAATACCAAATCCATTTTCAAAAGCATGACTGTTGTAAAGATTATAAGCATCCTTTTCAGATTTAACACACAATCCAACAAGTGATTTAATCTCGGTTGCCTTGTCAATAGTTGCAAATGTATCCGACAATTCATAAAGGTGATATATGAAAAACAAACGACTGTAAAGAAGATACATACAATTGAATACAAGTTACATAGTGTTGATCATAAGTTACATACACTTAAACTAAAGTTACATTTTAATAAATATAAAGTTACATAAAACTTAACTCAAGGCTCATACAATAGTTGCATACATAAAGGTACAGTTCAATTACATACAGTAGAACAAAAGTTACATACAACAAAACAGAAAGTTACATAAGCTTTAGCGCAAGTTACATACATTAGAAAAGAAGTTGCATAGATTTGAATGTAATTTACATATTATTAAACAAGATATTAGAGCATACTGCAAACATAAAACTAAGAACCAAATTACATAAAACTAAACAAAAGTTACATACAATTGAAATAAAATGACATAACATCGAACTAAAAATAAACAAAACAAAAATTGAATCACATGACAGGAAAAGTACCTCTAATAAGAAGATGTAACAATTTAGAAGCCATTGAACCAGTTTCGTCTTCTCCTGAAAGGAAAACAACAAAATTCAACCAATATGAATACTACACTCCAAATTCTCAAGCAATAAGATAAAACAGAGAACAAAACATATTACAGCATACTGCAGGCATAAATAAGATAAATTAAATTGAGAAAACTCAAAAACTGTAATGTTTACCAATGTGCTCGACATGAACCGGCTGATCACATTCAAAATTATTGTCAACGGATGAAGGAATCACGTTATCATGTATAGTAAAAGGAATAGAATCTCCGAATTCAATCGATGAATTCACAACAGCTGAATCATCTAGAGAGAAATCCATTGAAGCCTTTGAAGGCAAATCAGGTTTGTAAGCTCAGTGAATAGAAACAAAAACGGAAGAAAGAAGCGGAAGAAAGAAGTCGGCTGCAACAGAAAACAGAAATACGAACCTAATTTTTTTTAATGGAAAACGACACCGTTTTGGGATCGGCACACCATGCGCATGGTGGGCCGATCCCACGGTATAATTTGCGGTTATCTTTAGGTCAATCAGGACGCTTAATGCATGTGGGTCTTCCTTACAAAACTTTGGTGCCCCTTGGGCCCAACCCAATAGCAAAGGTTGAATTTTTGAAGAACTACTTTGCTGTAATTTTTTTATGTATGATAAATTCCTACATGAAAATGGTTTCGGGACAATTTTTCATTCATTTCAAAATGGATTTCAACAACTTAATACGGAGAGTATCTGGTAATGTTCAGCATATGGATCGCTTTCATGTTTAAGGTCCAAGGTGGCCGATATATAAAGTTATTATCAAGAATAAAGCTTATTGGATCAAACTGCTGGGCTTAATGGACCTGTTTACTCTTTTATTTTGTCATTTTGGCTCTTCATGAACTCAAGGAATTTGTTGTAAAGAGATGGATCACATAAGTCAATGTCTTTAGAAGGAGAATCAGGAGAAGTGTTAGCAAGATGAGCCTGAGTAGGTTTATTATTGTTTTGAGGTAATTTGAAGCCAGGAGCAACTCTGTGTCCTTTAGGACCTTTCCAGGTAGGAGGATATCCAATGATTTGGAAACACTTATCAGCTGAATGACCTTGAAATCCACAGTGAGTACAAGTAACAGAAGGTTTCTTTTTATAATTTGGATTTTTAGCAAGAAAGGCAGTTGAGTCATTGACAGAAGGAGTATAAGTTTGTGAAGGATATGAAACATGATATTGAAGATTTCTTTGGGCTTCTTCTTGTAGAAAGAAAGAATACACAGTAGAGAGACTAGGAAAGGGGGTCTGAAGAAGTATTTGACTTCTCAGATTAGAGTAAGACTCGTTTAGACCAACAAGAAATTTTTGTACAGATTCCTTTTGAAGGAGAGCCTGATATTTTTCATTGATTTTGCAAGTGCAATTATCACAAGTACAAAGAGGGAGAGTTTTGAAATCAACATATTCATCCCAAAGATCTTTGAATATATTGTAATATGCAGTAACAGTTTGAGTACTTTGAGAAATGTTGCCTAAAGATTTTTCAAGGAAAAAATCCTAGGACCATCACTCTTACCGTATCTAAGTTGTATTTCATCCCATAGTTCTTTAGCAGATGTAAAATACAGAAAAGTAGAACGGATTTCAGGTGAAATGGAGTAAATTAACCAAGACAAAAGTAAGGCATTGATACGATACCAGACAGAGTAAGCGTGAGAATCAGTCAACTGTGGTTGCGAAATAGAACCGTCCAGGAAAGCCATCTTGTTTTTCACGCTGAAAGCCATGGTCACCGATTTCTTCCAAGCATTGAAGTTGTCTCCGGTGAGTGTTTCTGAGATGATGCGTAGACCAGCGTGATCGTTGGGATGCAGATAGTACGGAGAAGACGAATCCTCAAGAGGATTTAAAGGAAAGGCAACAGACATCTTCAAAGAAACGATTTATGATTTCTGCGGATGAATTAGGGTTTTTACGAATCGATTGATTCGAAAAAAAAGAATCGATTATAGAAATCGAAGAGAGGATAGGATTTCAGAAAGATGATACAGAATCTGTGGCTACTCTGATACCATGTTGAGAATATCATACAGAATTCGAAGATGGAGATGAAGAACGAACGAAGCTTTTGGAATTATTAGCGGAAGAAGATAAGCAAGTCTTAGGGTTTAGAATTGTAGAACTTACTGAATAAAATATTACAAGAGGTATTTATACAATAATGACTAATGGTCTAATACGAATGGGCTAAAAGATAGAAAGCCCAATGACAAAATAAAAGAGTAAACAGGTCCATTAAGCCCAGCAGTTTGATCCAATAAGCTTTATTCTTGATAGTTATAAACCATTTTCCAAACAGTTCATTCCAATTTACTCCTAAGAACACGAGAGATGAATATGACTAAAAATATGAAGAATATAATTCCTAATTTGAAACTGAAATTTGTTTTTAAATTTCACCATTAAGAAGAATATAATCCCTAATCTGATATAGAAATTCATCCGTTGCTATAGTCCATGAACTGTTTCATTTTGCTTGTTTGCTCTTCATTTGGATTCGTAGAAGGTAGTAGTGTGATGGATGAATAAAATTGATATCAATTTCTTATTAAAGTTAAGAATCGTTTAAATTCCAGGAACAATAAATGATTAGGCTTGGGTTGACGTGATGATGATATCAATAATTTCCTTATGAACAACAATCATTTCTTAGGTTTAGGTGGATGTGATGATGATTTCAATCTCTTCCTAGTGAACAAGGTAGCTCAAGGCTCTTGCGTTGTCTATAAATGTAAATGGGTATCTAGGTGACCGAAGTTTCCGGTGTCCTACATTTGATTTGATATGATGGTTGCTTGGGAGTTTCCAGCCGCTTCAAATGGGTATCATTGAACAGTTCTGGCAATATGTATTTCGTGTAGTAAATATAGGCCTTTTAGTTTTAGGTCACTGTAAAAGTATTATTTATGTCGCTCATCCTTGTAATTTATGCCTTTTATTACTTCCTCTTTGAGTCTGTCAAATTCCATTTTATATATGGCGCCAGCCTCACATAAGTCTAATCCAGCCCTACCTCTCTTATTTTAAATAAATGCCTAATATTTTCTCTAGAGTCAGAAAGGTTTAAATTGGAAGGAAACAGCTGCGCTATATGTTGCAATGAGTTGCATAAAGTTGACATGGAGGAGTTCTGTGTAGCACACCAGTTCTTTAACAAGAGGTTGACCAAAAAAACAGTTCCTCAAAACAGTGTAATACAGTATATTTGTATTCCCATTCACTATAACTACTACCAAGGCAAATATATATACATACATATATGGTAGCCTGTAGGGCACAGTTCACAAATAAATTTAATATTATGGTTAACTCTGTGCGAGTATTCATTCAAAATCTAGAAAGAGAAGAAAAAAAGATCAACTGTAAAATTAATTAATAGCTGTTGCAGCTTAGAGATGTAGATCTGCTTGGCCATTGAGCATTTAGGATGACAGAATTGGGAGAAAGGGTCGGCAACTTACAAGTACCATTCTTCACCAACAACAGTGGAGCGACCGTTGGACTTGCCACAGAAACCTTCTTCTCCAAACCCTGTATCTCAAGCAAACTTTCCAACACCTCCTCCATGGAAGGCCTCATTTCCTTGGCACTCTGCAGGCATTGGAAGGCCACTTCCGCCACTGCACATATCATCTCCCTTACTCTCTCATTCGAATCAAACCCCAGACTCTTATCCACCAACTCTGGCAAGGCGTTGCACTGGATCTTGTTGATTGCCATGTTGGACAGATTAATCTCGTGTCTATGCCTAGTGATATCAACGGCCGGCAATGATGAGATAAGCTCGATCAATACCACCCCAAAGCTGTAAACGTCGCTCTTGCTTGTTAGCTGGTAACACTCGTGGTACTCTGGGTCAAGATACCCAGGGGTACCCTGTGGGGCCGTAGATATGTGTGTGGCGTGCGTCGGGAAGAGGCGGGACAGGCCGAAATCCGCAACTTTGACACGGAAACCGTCATCCAGGAGGATGTTGCTGGTCTTGACGTCGCGGTGAATGACTTCTGAGGCATGGAGGTACACCAACGCGCTTGCGGTTTCAATAGCGATGCTCAACCGTGTAGTCCATGAGAGGGATTCCGGATTCGCAGCCTCACCGTGAAGGTGGTCTGCTATCGTCCCGTTTGGGATGTACTCGTAGACTAAAAGAAGCTCACGACAATGGCGCGATGTGCACCCATAGAGCATCACCAGGTTCCTGTGGGATAGTCGCTGCAAGATTTCGATCTCGTTCATGAACTGCTCTACCCTCTTGTAGTTGTTCTCATACAAACGTTTCACCGCAATAACCCGCCCATCTCTCAGTTTACCTACAATGTAAAAGTTCCACAATGCGCGTTGTTTATTGCTATGTATGATAATTACTACTACATATTATTATTATTATTATGTTTAGTATTATTATCACAATATCACCATTGTTTCTATCATCATAGTTACCTTTGTAGACACTCCCAAAGCCGCCATCTCCAAGTTCATGCTTTGGGTTGAAATGATCAGTTGCTTCTTCAAGCTCACTATACTCAAAGAGGTGGACTCCATGGTAGTTCCCTGACTTCTCAAGATCCATAGTTGAAGTAGAGGGATCAGAAGGAGTGGTTCGTGACATGAAGTAGGATGAAGCATAGGGCTTCTTCTTGTGCCGTCGTCTGTGGCACGCAAACCAAGAGGCCCCAATTAATATGACACCAAGCGCAGCTCCACCAACGCCTATAATATTTAAAGCCTAATTAATTGATTATGATCCAAGTTTGAAACTCATTCAAGAGATTATTATTGTTATGATTGCCATATATATATGTACTCTTAAGAATGATCATCAAAGTGTAACTTGAAGTAACTTACCTAAGCCAATCTTCAAATTCACTGACCATCCTGCCATATCCACACAGTAAAAAACAAGTTCAGATTCTGTTCCGAAGCCTTAAAACTCAAAAAGCAAATCATATGTAATGAGATCATAAATAAAAGACCAGGGGGAAAAAATGGAATAAAGGAAACTTGTTCTTTCCATTCAGGAAATCATAAGCAGGAAAGAAATTACTAATTAAACATTGGATGAAACTTCATTTAGCAATTCTGTTCGAGTAAGGATTAAAAAAGTGAGCGTCGGCATGTCCTAAGATAGATCATGCTCTATCCTCTTGCCACTTGGAAGCCAATGTTAAGATAGGATACTTATTTGTAACTAAACCCAGCTATTATGCTAAATAAAAAACATTATTGCAATCACTCTCTAACCAGAAAAGTTGGAACCTTGATCATTGTTGCTAAGAGAGCTAGAAGATAGAGGGCAGGTTTTGGCATGTGTTTGGTTATGGCAGAAACAAAGGAATTGACTATTGTAATGACCGCAACTTCCCCCGCTTTCCTCGCAGTATCTACAACGAGACTCCTTCCACTGCAGAATAAACCCTCTCTTTAAAACCTCAACATAACTCATCTCCAACAATTTGTCTATTCCCTCAACCTCAACCGGCATATTAACCGGCGGTTGGCACGCCTTTATAGAATAGGCCTTGTGCTCCATGAGATCAAAACGGAAAACCGCGAAAGCATGATGGCTTTCGTTTTTGGCACAATCCACCGGATAACTCTCCATCCCGAATGGTTCAGTGCAATTGTAGAAGAACACTAGGTCTGCTGTGTTCGGGCCATAGCTAAACAGAGTCCTATGTGCGCGCAGATTGTGTCGTGGAATGGGGCACTTATCACCCGCATCATAGACCTCGGGTGTAGCAAGCCGGACCGAATTGCTCGAGTAATATATGTCTCGGACGATGTATTCCTCGGTGTGAATCTTGATGAATGGCTGATCATCAACACATGTTATGTTGTAGGAAGGTAAACCACAGTACGATTTTTGTTTGGTGGTAATCCAGAAAGGGAAGGAGACCTTCACTCCATTACCACAATCTTGGGGTTTGCAAGTTGTGGAATTCAAGTACAAGGATTGAGCTTCTTCATGCAGTGAGGTGAGGAAAATGACGCAAAGGATTATTGATTTCTTGAACATGAATGAAGATCAGATGGAGATGAGAATATAGAGACACTAGAAATTAGAAAGAAAAAGAAAAGAATAGGAAACGGGAATCGAACACTTGCAAGCTAGCGGGAAGTTTGTAGTTGGCAGTAAGAGTCTATGTGAATAAAACCACCGCCCCCTCATCGTACGTCCGTCCACAATGACATTACTCCATGAATAAAATCATTCAAAGCTACTTTTATCCTCAAGAGTTATCTGGACCGTACATGGAGTTACTTTATAAATTGCCCAACACACACATAAAAAGAAGGCTACTTTATATTGCATATTTTACGTTTTGTCAAGGATAATAATTAGTGCATGACATTTACAGTCTTTGGTCTAACATTTAGAAAACGTCTGTCCCAAGACTTCAAGCAACTGCTAGCTAGGTCTTCTGTCCTAGAGAGGGAAAATCATCATCTAAATCCGTCCTGGCATCACACGGAGCTATTGGCCTGGCCTGGCCTGGCCTGGCCAGGTGAAGTATATACTCTCTCTCTTCCAAAAACTTGCTTAAATTTGACTTGCATATGAAATAATAAAATAAAAAATGGTGTAAAATTTGTGTGGTTGAGATTTTTAGATAAATAAGAGAAACAACTTTTAAAACACATACGTAGTACTTCGTATTTATTTATGAGTATGCCGTATGTGGAAATAACAAAGTTTTTTAGGACAACTAAATAATGAAAGTTGAAGTCTTTATTTTGTAAAGCTCTAACACATAATTTCTAATACATAATTTCTAAAGGGATACTCTAAATTCCCAATTAATCTAGCATCATCAAAATCTAATTACAATTATTCCTTACAGTTAACTTGATATGTAAGTTTTGTTTATTGAAATGTAAATGTTGTTAATTTGATATGTAACTGCGGTTTATTTGAGATGTAATGGCTGTTGAATTCAGATGTAATTTGAAAAGCACCTGCTATTCAATCAATTGTTTATTAACTAGTGTTATTGTCTTAGTGAATTGCTGTATAATGACGACTCAAGCCTGTTTTTGAACCATGAGGTGTTCCAAACACTTGAAGATGAAAAAGAAGTTGACAATTCAGTAATAGATGCATGGGTAAAATTACTGAATGACAGAGAACGCAAAAACAATCATTCCAACCGAGCACTGATACTTTCTACATTGGTCTATGTACGTATCATTTTTCTTATTCATTGAATAAATAGAAAAATATTCATTATTCTGATTCATTTCCATGGTTGATAATAAACAGGCACAATTTGGAGTGTTATACGCAAACAAAGAAGACATGATGCTAGAAAGGTTGGAATTTAAAGTTGCTAAACAAGGAAATCTCAAAGATTATGATATGGTAAAATGTTATTATTACTGAAAAAGATAAATGAAATGATTCACTGTGAAATAATTAACTAATGAATGCTTTTTATGAATTGCAGGTCTTGTTTCCTGTACACAGAAGTCAGCATTACTATATTTATTGCTTCTATACAAACAAGAATGTAGTTGATGTCATAGACAATAGAATTCTTGAAGACGGGGTGGAGTTTAAAGACAAGTATGAGGAGAGCTTTAACCAACTGGTAAACTTATGTTCATGTATTCCAGAAATATCAAACATTGTTAAATTTATTATTTTGTAAATTTATTAGTGTGCTAATGCATATCCTGAAAATAGGTGGATGAATTTAAAAAGTACTGCAACAAGGTTAAACATCCAGCTGGAAGAATCGCCACATGGAACCCTAGAATCTTGAATATGCCATGGAGGTACAATGAGAATTATGTTGACTGTGGCATTTTTGTCATGCGTCACTTGGAAACATATCATGGACAGGGAGACAAGTGGGATTCAGGATTCCCAAGTGCATCTAAAGCTGCTAGAATAAAAGCTCAGAAACAAACACTGAAGAAGCTAAGACTTGTCTATGCAGCAGAAATCATAAGCTCAAAATTCAACATGTAAAGGGAAAATGTTTATAAAAGAGCAAAAGACTTCAGAAATCTTTATTTTGTAAAGCTCTAACACAAACTACATGTTGACAGCATGTTGGGTCGAAATAAAAATTGAAGTCTTTCTTTTTTACCGAATATCCCTCACATAGATGACCCAAAAGTCAAGAAATTTTGGAATCCTTTGCAAAATGCCAAACTTTAATGTATAATACTTTGAGCTAGCTTCTTTATTAGAGATAAATCCTTGTTATTGATTATAATTTGCTTATTTTTATATATATCTTGTTTTAACTACTTTAGTATCTTTATATCGTAGACTCCCACTGAAAGTCCTGTTTACTCCTATACAAACTATTGTAAACGCATAGTAAATCTTTTAATAAAGCTTCCAAAAATTAACCCACGCGATCCTATTATACTGTTCTATGTAGTATGTACACCATTTTATTTTATTATAATAATAATTATACGGAGTACAATATAAAATGAGAATAAATTTAAAATGTAAGTTCTGTTTGATAATTTCTTTTTTCAGCTTATTAATCAAATACGTAGTACAACGTAATTTTTATATCAAAACAAGGTTTTTGTAAAAATGTTTGAGAATTCCAAAATAAGACCGGCATGTTTTTATTTCCTAAATAAAAACATGACAACATTTTTCATGTTTGACAAAGATTACTCCTATTTAAGAAATAAAAACATAATAGTCCTATTCAGGGCAATTTCCATTTATGTATCTGCGATACAACAATTACGATTTTTCAATAAGCGAAAATGATATGGATATCACCCCTCTGATTTATTCCTATTTAAGAAATAAGCGAAAATTACTGTCATGTTTAAACATGACAACATTTTTCAAGTTTGACAAAGATTACTCCTATTTAAGAAATAAAAACATAATAGTCCTATTCAGGGCAATTTCCATTTATGTATCTGCGATACAACAATTACGATTTTTCAATAAGCGAAAATGATATGGATATCACCCCTCTGATTTATTCCTCATTGCCATTGGTAAATAAACTATGAGGTAATGCTGGAAAAACACTTAACATGAACATTGGCTAAAGCAAACTAGGTCAAGGAATTACTTTTCAACAAAAGGATTCCGCTTTGCCTGTATGGGACAAATTCTTGTATTGAACCGTAGTTTAACTAACAGTTGTGCCGTGCCTCAAGTCCTCAACGGGGCCTTATTTTTTTATTGGTTTGTAAGCATTTTCCGATCACGGTTTTTGTCAAATAAGAAATACTCCCTCTTTTTTTTATCACTTGGTATCACTTTAGTTTTCATGTTTGCCTTTTCACGTATTTTAAGATAATTACTATAGTTTTTATGAAAATAAAAGGTTTTTAGTACTATAGTGGTATTGTAGCAATTTATTTTTGGTTAAAATGACTACACCTCCTTATAATAACTCTTCTCGTTTTCATATTTTATTTTATTAATAAATTTATGTTATAGATACGAAGTAACACTACACCAAATGTTCAATATAGGTCCAATTTTTTGGCTCGGAAATATTTCAGAGTCAAGTTTATCATGGTTTTAGGCTTGGGAAAGTTATACGCGAGAGTCATTTCATTTTCGCACGGCAAAGATGTTGCCAAATATTTGCATTGGCTCGGAATATCGGAGTCAAAACCCGAGCCAACACCGGAAAAAAAAAAGAAAGGGGCCGGGAAATGTGCAAATATACACCTGAAATGAAGGTGGAGGTGCAAATGTACCCCTGAACTACTAAAAGATACGAAGTACAAAAATACCTCTAATGTTTGTATAGATGAGCAAATTTACTCTATTTACTTTAAATAAATAAAACAAATTTAAACAAAACAAATTATAAATTTAAATTTTGAAATTGAAAAAAAAAATAAAGAGTTAAAGATAAAGATTTTTTATGTTA